TTTAGGGAGTTTAAATGTAGGAAAATTTGCATGCATACCAATGAATACTAATGTATTTACATATTTAATATTAAAATATTTATATTTTTCTATATAACAACATAAACTATACCTAGAATTAATGCATCGTAGGTGAGAAAATATTGCATCAGGACAACGCACGTAGAGTTAGGTGCAGAGTCCAATAAAATCACGCCACGTGACGGTAACAGAAAAAAAATAAAATCTGTCTGGTAACACAAGAGAATATTTCTCCAGTATTATTCAGGTGTTATTGTGTGTTATTCATGTATTATTATGTGTTATTCAAGTGTTATTGATATGTTATTGTGTTATTATAACACCGAGAATATTCCCAGAACACAATAACACCTAAATAACATATAATAACACTTAAATAACACAGAAAAACACGGGGGGATATTCCCGTGTTACCGAGCTGATTTTTTTTTCTATCACCTCCACGTGGCGTGATTTTATTGGACTCCGAACGTAACTCTACGTGCGAAGTCCTAATGCAATATTTAAGCAAAATTAACTCTTGTTATGTATATTTTGATGCAATTTAGAGTATAATACATAAGTATATATATCCAAATTTTGAAATATTTACACATATATATGACATAATTCCCGTGTATTTACATATCTGACTCATAAATGTTAATTGTATACATTTATAGCACTTTAACTATATATGAAAACTTAATAATAATTATATTTTTTTATGAAATATAAGAAATTTAACCCTCATAAATATAAAAATCAAAGTTTAAATGTTAGATATAGAAATACATAACAATTGCAAAGTATGTATGTGAATGCCCCAAATTTAGGAAGATTCACATACATACTACATAATTTTCTTATGTATTTATATATCCTACACCTAAAATTTAAATTTTTTTAATATTTATAGCGCTTCAACTTAAGTAATACTTTTGATGCGAAGAAATTTTAAGTATTATAAATATTAAAATAAAAAAATCAGAATTAGATATGTAAATACATAAGAAATGTGTGCTATGCATATAAATGCCCAAAATTTGGGAAGATTCACACGTATCACACAGTTCTTATGTATTTATACATCTAACACCTAAATTTTATTTTATTTTTACATTTATAACACTTTGTTTATATATGTAAAGACATATAGATTTCACTTTTAAAAAGTTAGTGATAATCGTATTTTTTTATGTAAATACATAAAAGTTAAATTATTATATTAATAAATATATAGATGTATCTTAAGCAAATCTATTTTATTCAATTAGAAACATTTGCATTTGTACCCTTTTGTCAACATTGTATTACATGAAAAAGTAATAGAACTTACCGCACGTGTGATAGAACAGCTTAGCGGCGCTCTTTCGGGTAAACCCATCGGCTAGGTTGTTGAGTGATTCAGTTTGTGAGTTGCCCGGTGTGTCGAAGTGTGACTTCAGTTGCCTGTAGTATTTATGAAGGTGGGATTACATTCACACCACTCAATTCCCATGTATTTACATATCGACCATCTAAATTTTATTTTTTACATTTATATGTACCATCCAAATCTTCCATAGTATCCATCTTTTTAACTTTTAAAAAGCGAAATATACATTTCATGCATAGAAGTGAGTCGGGCTGATTCATGAGCCAGCTAGACCTTGGCTCGATAAGTGGCTCGTGAACTTAGCTTGACCAGCGAAAAAGCTTAGCTCAAGCTAAGCTCTAAATATGATAAATTTGAAGATTTTATCTTTAAAGTATTAAAAATATTAAAAAGTAATATTTGTATTTTATATTAAATAATTTATTATTATTTCTCTCCCATCATTATTTTAAATTAATATTATTTTTTTTTCTTTTATAATAAAAAAGACGGCTCGAACTCATAGACTTAAGCTCGAGTAAGAGCTCGAACTTAAAAAAATGAAACAAGCTCAAAATCAAGTCGAAGGTGACTCGAGCTCGACTCGACTCAGTTTACACCTCTATGCAAGAATAAGGTGACATATATGTAAAAATTGAAAATTAAGTGTTAACATAAGAAGATAAGAATTGAGTGGCATGTATGTAAATCTTAGAGGAGCTGAACTTACTTGCGAATGGACTCTGTAACTCTGTCGATTGCGGGTTCACGTAATGCGTTAGGAATTGGAGTATTTGCGGGTCCTGTTTCTTCGAACGGTTCTATGAAGTTTGGCATATGAAAGAGTGAAGTAAGGTAGGGATAAGTACTTAACAATTAAATGATCGACAAACAAACACATTATTTATCTGGAAATTTACATACATTCCATTTAATTCCCATGTATTTGCATATCTAAAACATAAACGTTTATTTTTTACATATTTACCATTTTACTGATAGGGGCGTAAACGAGCCGAACACGAGCGAGCCCAGAACCAG